TAACTGGAGGATGATTTTGCCTCGCAGAGGACTTTTGGCAATGTCTGGAGAAATTTCTGACTGTCACAGCTAAAGAGGAGTATTGACCTCTAGTAGGTAGAGGCCAGGGATGCTGCGAACCATCTTACAATGTACAGGACAGCCCCACAGCAAAGGACTATGGCCCCAAACGCTAACAGTGCCAAGGGCAAGAAAACCTGAGCTACAAACTTTCTCTTCTGAATTACATCAGTAGCAACAGTGACTATATATAGAAGCCTCAGAGCTAACTGTTCCCTCTTGGAAATATCAATTCAAGAGGATAAAATGTGGACTTCTGAGGATAACGATGTGGATCAGATTATTCATTCTGCACTTGTGCACCTGGCTCTACCCATGGGAGCCTGGCTGCACCCTGTCTGTGCCATTTGTTAACGTGGGGAAAACTGATGAGGTCTAATTTGGCTGGTTAAGTGAGTTCCCAAGGGATGCACCTCGCCTCTTTGCTCTCAATGGCTGCTTTGTACACCGCGCTAAAGTTGTTCTCCACAGAGACACAGGGAGAACTGCATTATTCTATTCTCACCTGTTCAACAGGTTTTGTCTGAAGAGTCTTTGAGAAATAAATATCAGTTAAAAAGGAAAAAAGCACGCTTGGCCTTTGATTCCTGGAAGGCCAGATGACCTCTTTCAGTGTAATTCTAGACTATTTTGTGTAGAGTTGGGAGGAAGGTGCTCAAAATGCATTTTTATTTCTATTATCTACTCTCTTAACCACCAAGATTATGTGTTCTTTGTTTTGAATAGTGTTACCTGATATTTATACTGAGTCTGTTTTCACATTAGAACCTGTTTTCTTAACTCTTACTCTAGGAAGTGTAATTGAATCTAGATCTTGAATTGAAGTGACTTGGTACAGATAAAATACACTGTCCTTGGAATTCTCAAGTGAATTAAAAGAGTGTAGAGACTATGAAGAAGTCTGTCCCAGTGCAGATTGTCTGCTTGTATTTGTATCTAGGAGATCCATAATTTATGTAGCAAGTCCCTGTTGTTGAATATTAAATTGTTTTCAAGTTTGGGGAATTACAACCAAAACAGCAATTGGCATTGTTATGGTTAAGTTAATAATTATTTCTTGAGGAAGCATCCTAGAAAAGTAAAATCACTCAAAGGGAACACAAAATTTTAAGGCTTTTGGTACAGTCTGCCAAAAGTACCTCTGGAAAGTTGTACCAATTTATATTCTGAATAGGTGTGCATGGACATGGACTTTCTTCTTTAGAAGTCACGACCAAGAGTTAGTGTAGGAGTGTCTAGGGGGGACAAGAGTACGGTCAATGAACCTACCAAGTTATGATCCAACAGCTGCTGGAACTCATTCTCTTATTACTCTAGCTCTTACTTGCTTGGCTTTGGCCACTCACCTCTTTCTGGAACATACAAGGCATGCTTCTGCCTCAGGGCCTTTGCACTTGCTGTTTGAGAAATAGAATATTGCCTACCATATTGGTAAACAAAGAATCTAGCTACCACATTACAGCCACCCTGATTGTGAGCCCTGAGGGCACTCAGGAAGGAAACAAAGAACGCTTGCCATCTAGCAGTCATCAGACTGCAGCCAACCCCTATGGTGCAGCTTGAGGAAACTCTGGATGAGGAAACACTACTGGCCCCAGATAGCTGAGGTGCATATCAAAGGAATGATTTCAGTGAGCCCAGACTCTTGCATCTTCCCGTGCATAGAAAAGCATTAAATTCTTTAACTTGAGGTATCTAGTTTTCTTTTATTAACAGTAATCTTTGTTCTGACTTCCTGGTGTTGTTGCAAAAACTCCTATATATCCTGGCTCCCCCCTTCCTCTTCAGAGCAGTTTGCTCAGGGTTATTTAAGATGCTGCCTCAGGGCTTGAAGTCCTAAGAATGTCCAATCAATAAAACATAACTCTCAACTTTTAGGTTGTGCATTTTTTTTTCAGTCGACGTGTTCCCTTGGCCTGTGACATGATTCCTCCAGATGTCCACATGGCTCACCTCCTCACTTCTCATAGGTCTTTACTCAGATGCTGTGTCTCACTGATGCTTTCCCTGGTTTCCCTATTTAAGACTGCAGTCCTGCCCCTCCCACAGAGATATACTCACATGCTTCAGATTCTCCTTCCCTGATTCATTTCTGTCCATGTCCCTTGACGCCACCTAACGTGTAGATTTGCTGCTGTATCCCCAGCACTGAGAACAGGGCTAGTACAGAGTAGGGCTCAGTAATTATTTGTTGAACGAGCTATTGAACCACTGCTTTGAAGATTTGCCTCTGCTGGTTAGCACTCATTATCGTCACACTGTGACGATCAAGGCTGTCTTCATCATCCTTGGCCAAAGGGACAGCGGTTCTGTTTTGCGTCATTTCCTTTACTTGTCAGCTCTGATGAAGTTAGTTATTCATATAACTGCTGGTGTTGTTATGATTAACTGCCATTAGGCTGCCATTATTAACTCTGCTATCTCTATCATCTTAGTCACGCCCAATGGCCACTGAGCTCGGGGGGTAGTAACTGACAAGGCCCACTCTGGTTTGATAAAGAACCAGAGGCACATGTTTGATTAGCATCTTCATACAGAGATCAATTTCTGGAAAAAGGCTAAGAACCCAGTAGAAAAAAGGCAAAGTATCTGGACAGTTCACAGAAAAGTACTTTGCATCTTTATATTCAACCTCTCTCACAATAAGAGAAATAGACACTGAAAGTACATTGAGGACTTCCCTGGTGGTGCAGTGGTTAAGAATCTGCCTGCCAACGCGGGGGACACAGGTTCGAGCCCTGGTCTGGGAAGATCCCACATGCTGTGGAGCAACTAAGCCCGCACGCCACAACTACTGAGCCTGCGCGCCGCAGCTACTGAAGCCCGCGCGCCTAGAGCCCATGCTCCGCAGCAAGAGAAACCACCACAGTGAGAAACCCGCGCACCGTAACGAAGAGTAGCCCCGGCTCGCTGCAGCTAGAGAAAGCCCGCACGCAGCAATGTAGACCCAACGCAGGCAAAAATAAATAAATAAATTAATTAAATTAAATAAAAGGAAAGTACATTGAGATACATTTTTTTTTCAATGCATCAGGTGTGCAAAAGTTCAATCTGTTGGTGAGTCTGTGTGTAAAGAGGCAAGCCTCATCCATTGCTAAAGGGAGTATAGATTGGTACAACTCTCACTATGGAGATATATTTGGAGATGGCTATCAAAATCTAAAACTGCCTATGCTCTTTGACCCAACAATTTTACTTCTGTGAATCTACTGTAAAAATATACTTGCACATGAGCAAAATGATGTATGCATAAGATTTTTCACCAGAGGCTTGTTTATAACAGCCAAAGGTGAGAGATCACCCAGTGGCCCATGGCAGGGGACTGGTTCTTCAGATAAGATACTGGGAAGTTGCTTCATAGCACAGGGAGATCATCTTGATGCTTTGTGATGACCTAGAGGAGTGGGATAGGGAGGGTGGGAGGGAGGCTCAAGAGGGAGGGGATATGGGGATATACATATACATATAACTGATTCACTTTGTTGTAAAGCAGAAACTAACATAACATTGTAAAGCAATTATACTCCAGTAGAGATGTAAAAAAAAAAATAAAAGGCTGATAAACATAAAGAAATCAAATAAAATATTAAAAAAAAAAAGATACAAAGAACAACTATGCAGCTGTAGAAGGAACCAGGACACAAAATTTGTATTAATATAGAAGGATTTAGAAGATACATGAAATGAAAAAAAACCAGGGTATAGAATGCTGCCTTTTATGTAAAGAAAGTGGGAAATATAATATGCTTTTGCATTTGACTTACATACCTGAAGAAGTTCTGGAGCGATACATAAGAAACTAGTAACAGTGGCTAGCTGGAGGGGTGGGGATAGAAGTGAATATTGGGTGGGTGTATCATTTCAGGAGGAGGGAGATTCTACACTGTCTTTACATGCACACACACACATGCACACACGTTCAAGTTTTGAATCACATGAGTGTTTTACCTGTTCAAAAATATTAAGTTTTAATTAATTAATTAATTTATTTTGTTTTAATTAATTTATTTTATTTATTTACTTTTGGCTGCGTTGGGTCTTTGTTGCTGCACGCAGGCTTTCTCTAGTTACAGTGAGCTCGGGCTCTAGAGCGCAGTCTCAGTAGTTGTGGAGCACGGGCTTAGTTGCTCTGCGGCATGTGGGATCTTCCCGGACCAGGGCTCGAACCCATGTCCCCTGCATTGGCAGGAGGATTCTTAACCACTGAGCCACCAGGGAAGCCCCCCAAAATATTAAGTTAAAAAAGTTATCCTAAAAGAAACGAGTGAGTCTGGGAGAGAGAGGCAGCAGAGGATAATCTTACTTCCTTTGTGTAAAGCAACACTGTTCATTCCAGTGAGAATTCAAGGTCTGTTCTGAATGCTGTACTAGGCGCTACAGTTAATTTTCTTCTCATCTTGTGAACTGGCCTTGGGGAGGGAGTGTGTGTGCATGTGTGTGAACCTTGGGGCATTGCGCCTTCCTTATGATATCTTGGTTGCTATAGTGCGGAGGAGCTCTATTTGTGGCACACAGAAAACACTTTAAAGATATGCTGCTTCCTGGCCATGACTTCCTGGACAATCTGTCCTTCCGAAGGCTGCTGAGCACAAGGAGTTTGCGTGCACTTCTGGGCAGAGTGAGCCAGGCTCATTCAGACCCTGGGCACCATTCAGAGTAGAAGCAGGCAGTAAGGGACGCCTTGCTTCCCACTGAGGCCTTGGGAGGCTGTTGCCTCTCCGGGGCCTCGTCTCCAACTCCAGGGCATTGGCACCTTCCCCTCCTTTGCCTTCTCTCCTCTGGAGCCACCCGTGAATGGTGCAGTTGGCACCCTGTGTCTTCTGCACCCAGAGCCGTTTCTTGTACCAAAACCACCAGTGAAAACAGGAAGTGATAAAACAAAATTCGCCCTGCATCTGCACTGAGCGACTTCTCTTTCTCTTTTTGTCATTCCTCATTAGGTATAGACACGTGCAGCCATCTACACTGTAGGATCCCGCTTCCACCGGCTTTGGACATCGCGGGGATTTGCAATGCCACCACCTGCGGACATCGTCAAGGTGGCCATAGAATGGCCGGGTGCCTACCCCAAGCTCATGGAAATCGACCAGGTTAGTAATACTGGCAGTCGTTTAGGGGTTATTTTAGTTTCCCTTCTATTCTGAATTTACACAGACTTCAGATAGCTCTTTTTTCTCCTGTTCTCTCTCTGGCTGTGTTGAAAAATTGGTGCGATAATAGTTGCAGTGTAGTTTGATTTCTGTACCACATGCAGTGGCGATGGATGGGGTTTTTATACTCATCCAACATCTACTTGGAGTGTGTCAATACAGGGTTTGTGTCTGAAGCTGTGAGGGAGGCAGGAGGGACAAGAGGACTAGACTCTGGGCAGTTGACACAGTGGAGGCCGTCCCAGCCCTGCCTTGCAGAGACTCATGACTATGTGCTGATTGTTTTATCATAGACAACACAAATCTTAATTTTTGGAATCACTCTTCTCTTTGGTTTTTGCATAAGCAGCCAACAAGTATGTTGCTACTTTGTCATATTAATAGTTTGGTCATGCGTGGATGGATCTAGAGACTGTCATACAGCGTGAAGTAAGTCAGAAAGAGGAAAACAAATATCGGATATTAACGCGTATATGTGGAACCTAGAAAAATGGTACAGATGAACTGGTTTTCAGGGCAGAAACTGAGACACAGATGTAGAGAACAAACATATGGGCACCAAGGGGGGGAAGTGGCGGGGTGGTGGTGGTGGTGGTGGTGTGATGAATTGGGCGATTGGGATTGACATGTATACACTGATGTGTATAAAATGGATGACAAGTAAGAACCTGCTGTATTAAAAAAAAATAGTTTGATCATGAAATTAGTGTAGAGGAATGGGTCTTGGATCCTAGCCGGTTGTAATTTTATTATTAGAGTAAAATGCACTCTGGGTCTAGTATATTGTCTTGTATGTAATAAATACTCAGTACATTTTTACTGAATGAAAAAATGTCAAGATTTTTAAAATGGTTTTACCTATGGAGTCATCGTTTAGTTTGACAGTCTTATGATGTAACTCTCATTTACTATTGATTACAGGCTATCTCAGGAAGGTGGTTTTTGTCATTGTAAATGATTTAAAGGAAAAAAAAATTGAGGCCTAGTGTATGCTTAAGGGTTTCATGAAACATATAGGATTCTAGATGGCTTTCTACATTTTCAAAATTAGGGTACCATGGCAACTCCACTTTTTATGTTCTTGATATTATTTTATGATCTATACTTTTCTGATACTATTTTATGATCTATACATTTTTTCTGGTCAGATTTTATTATCTGATTGAAGACCACTGCAAAATTTACATGGCATTGTGTGGACCCAAAGGATTCATTAGAATAAATTATAAAGGTCAAATAAGAATTAGTTGAGTTTGAGCATGAATGTAAGAAAGGGTACACTTTTAGGTTTGTTTTCAAAAAAGGTGTCATCAGACCAGCATGTCATAGTCATTTTAACTGTCCTCTGAGGCAGATTTTGTTGACTTCAGAAGCAACCCATGAAAGCAGAGAAGCCCGCCCAGCAATTTTATATACATTTGTGTCAGACAACGGTTGTTTACCTTTTTTTCACATGCTGTTTGAGAGAGGATATGTGTTGAATGTTACTTTAAAATATGGCTGGACTACTTGGTGAAGACTAAATGTTGTTAAAATTAGGTTTGTCTACAACCCAAGAGAACAGTGGTTCAAAGAGATAAAAGTTGGCCTCTCAAGTCCACATGGCAGTCCTGGGCTGGCATGATGCCCCAGTGTCATGGACCCAGGCCTCTTCTGTCTTGTTGCTTTGCCTTCTCCATAGGTGGGGCTGAGGACCAGTTGCTTGAGCATCACCTGAGAGCTCAGTAGATATGCAGAGTCTCAGACCCTACCCAGACCTCCTGACACAGATGTGCATTTTAACAAGATCCCCAGGGGATTCCTTGTGTAGTTAAGTCTGAGAAATGCTGAGCTGGATACCAGGTACCCAAGCCCAAGGCCACATCAGAACCACCTGGGGCACTTGTTCAAATGTTCTCTGGGGCCCCAGCCCCAGAGATTCTAAGTCAGTGCTTTAGGTAGACTCTTTCCTTTTGCTTCTGCCATGCCCCAGGGTGTTTGGAAACCTCTTCTTTAAGACAGTAGCTCTTGATACATACTCTTAGGGGCCTGTGGAGTCAGTATCTTGTTCCTGCCTTTGGGGATGGCCTTTGCTGTATGTGTGTCTTAATAATTTTTAAAAAAATATTCTTTTTATTTTGGAACAAGTTTAAATTTATAGACGAATTACGAAGATTGTATTGAGAGTTTTTGTATACCCTTCACTCAGTTTCTCCTGATGGTAACATCTTAATATAACTGCGGTACATTTGCCAAAACTATGGTAGATTACTAGTAACTGAATTACAAAATTTATTAGGATTTCATCAGTTTTTCCACTAATGTCCTTCTGTTACAGGATCCAGTGCAGGAATACCAACTGCATTGTAATGTTTCATGTTCCCTTTGTCTTCTTCAGTCTTTGACAATTTCTGAGTCTTTCCCTTGTTTTTCATGGCCTGATAGTTTTGAAGAGTAGCTTTACTTCAGTACAATTTCACACGCAGAAATGACAAGAACAGTACAAAGGAATTCCTGTCTACCTTTTATCTAGATTCACTAATTATTAATATTTTGCTTCATTTGCTTTATTGTTTTTTCTCTCTCTAGTATACCTATCCCCTTTTGAACCATTTGAGGGTGACTTAGGAGCATCATCTCCCTTTACCCCTAAATACTCAATGTGTCCTTCTTAAGAACAAAATCATTCTCTTACATAACCACAGTCTCTTTAAAGAAACCAGAAAATTGAACATTAGTTCAACATTATCATCTAATTCAAAGCCCAAAGCCCATATTCAAATTTCATCAAGTATCCCAATAAGGTCCTTGATAGGTATTTTCCTCACAGTCTGACATCCCTCCAGGATCATGTATTACATTTATTGCCATGTCTCTCTGGTCTTCATGGATCTAGAATGGTTCCTTAGTCTTTCTTCATCTTTTGTGACCTTGATAGTATTGTAGAGTACAGGACAGCTGTTTTGTGGAATGTCCTTCAGTTTGGGTTTCTCCGATGTTTCCTTCCAATTAGATTCAGGTTTTGCATTTTTGGCAGACAGGCAAGAGAGGTAAAGTTGTGTCCTCTTCAGGGCATCATATCAAGAGGCACATGAAGTTTCCTTGTCTCCTTCTTGGTGATGGTTCTACATTTATACGTGATAATATTGAGGTTCATAGAAGTTAGATGATTTCCTAGTCAGTGAGACCAGGACAGAAACCCAGGCCTCCTGTACTTTGAAGACTGAACTTTTAAACCGTTGGCTAAATTGTAGGGCTTCTGCTAATGCCATAGGGAGGCCTCCACAAAGAGTTAGAGACCCAGTCCCTTTTTGCCCTGCAGCCGCTGAAGTTGGAGAGTGGCAGTTTTGGTATCAGGTGCTGTTTCTTTTTTCTTTTTAAGATTTATTATTTATTTATTTAATTTATTTTTGGCTGCTTTGGGTCTTAGTTGCAGCACGCAGGATCTTCGTTGAGGCATGCGGGATCTTTCATTGTGGCGCGCGGGCTTCTCTCCGGTTGTGGCGTGTGGGTTTTCTCCCTCTAGTTGTGGCACACGGGTTCCAGAGTGCGTGGGCTCTGTTGTTGTGGCGCACAGGCTCCAGGGCACATGGGCTCTGTAGTTTGCGGCTCACAGGCTCTCTAGTTGAGGCACGTGAGCTTAGTAGTTCTGGCACGCGGGTTTAGTTGCCTTGCAGCACGTGGGATCTTAGTTCCCTGACCAGGGATCAAACCCACGTCCCTTGCATTGGAAGGCAGATTCTTTACCACTGGGCCACCAGGGAGGTCCCCAGGTGCTGTTTCTTGATCCAGTTGGAAGTTGGCACAAGAATTGGAAATGTATTTGCACAAACGAGGAAGACTTGAGCAGTGATTATTACTGGGGTTTTCTCCTAATCTTCTACCTTGTTCAATAAAGGTCACACCACCTGTTTCTCTCCCATTGCACGTTACCTTTGCTCCTTTGCTCTTAGCTACCATTTCACTAAAAGGAATTTCTGGAAGCTGGGTCAGGCATTGCTGCCCCATCTTCTCCCCAAACCTCCAGTACCCCTCCACTTGTCACACTGTGTTGTCCTTGTCAATCAGCTTAAACCAGTGGTCCTCAACCTTGTGTGTGCGCAAGAGTCACCCGGGGAGCTGGTGAGTAACGCACATCCCCAGCTCAGCTGCAGAGACTGTGATTCTGCTGACCAGGGATGGGTCCTTAATCTGGTTTGTGACGAGCATTAGGTGAGTCCAAAGCAGGGCCTCCCACATTGCATCATGCAGGGGCTCGTGAGAAACAGCCATGAGCCCGAGTTACTCCATTTTTGAATACTGTTTCTCTAGTGCCTGGTGAACAACCTCCCTTAAGAAGTGAATATTTAATTAATGAACAACCAGGAGAGGGAGCTTCCTGAGTGGGGATCAGTTCTGCTCAGCCAGGGCCCATGAGGTTCAAGGGGATGTCTGCTTGGAGTGGATTGGTTTACCTTCCTTCTGAATTTTGAGGAGACAATTCTGTGTTTCCACTCCACAGGAAAAGCCCCGAGGAGCTTCTCACAACTGGAGTTTGCTGTCATATGAGGTTCTCGGAAGAGCTGTCAGCTAGCTCTTTTGTTCATGACGGCAGCCTCTGCTCCTGCCTTCACTCTGTTGTTGGCTTTCAACCTCAAGAGCCACTTGAGGCTGTAGGTGATGATTGTCTGGATACACAGAGCCAAAAAGGCTCCCCATCCACTCTTCCTGTTAACCTAATATTTTTTGAACAGCATATTTCTTAGTCAAGAGTGTCAAAACCCTAGCACTTTTTTTTTTTTTTTTTTTTTTTTTTTTTGGCGGTACACGGGCTTCTCACTGTTGTGGCCTCTCCCATTGCGGAGCACAGGCTCCGGACGCGCAGGCTCAGCGGCCATGGCTCACGGGCCCAGCCGCTCCGCGGCATGTGGGATCTTCCCGGACCGGGGCACGAACCCGTGTCCCCTGCGTCGGCAGGCGGA